CAAAGCAATTCCCAATGAATAATTAGGCAGTCACTTCCATGGAAGTGAACATTATGTTGTTCAAAATTGCAGGTTCAGCGTGAGGCTGATGGCACAAAAAGATTACAGGCTGAGCAGGATCAATCTCGCTGTGTTTGTGCCTGAAATGACTATTTCAAATGACAGAATTATTGCTGTTTTTCCAAGAAGTTTGTTCCTCTGCCTTGTTTGTGTGGGCTGCAGTTAATTTGCTCAAAGCTCCAGCTCAGCACAACAGTGGAGTCGGAAGGACTCTGTCGCTGGAGGACTTTACTCTTCGCCCAGGCTTTTATGGCCTTGGCCCTGGCTCAGGAACCTTCCCAGCCCGGCACAGAACATGGGGATGAGGCAGAAACGGGGGATTTGGATGTGGCTCACAGGAGCACATGGCAGGGGCTTGAGTTTTTGGGAAGGGGTGCAAGGTTTGAAGGCCAGTCTCTTGCCTTTTCTGGTTAAACACTTCAGGTAACACCCCTGACCAATGTCGTTGTTCATTTGTGTTCTCAGATACCTGTTTGTTTATTTGGCTTCTCACCAGCTTTATTTTTTTGCCTGGGTACTTCTTGCTGTGTCTTTTTGGGTTTATTTGCTCCCTCAAAAACAAAACAAAACAAAACAAATCAATTTACTTAAATTACTGATTGGTTGGATAAAGTATGTCGTTAAAATCACAGGATAATAGAGTCCTAGAATGATTTGGATTGGGAGGAATCTTAAAGCTCATCTCACTCCACCCCCTGCCATGGGCAGGGACACCTTCCCCTGTCCCAGGTTGCTCCAAGCCCTGTCCAACCTGGACACTTGGACACTTCCAGGGATGGGGAGTCCACAACCCAGAGACACAAATGTGGCTGCCTTCTGGTTGTAAGTTTATGAATTATTGGTGAAAGTTCTCTTTTAGAAATATTAAAATACTGTTATACTTTCCACAGTCATGGTGAATCAGTTCATAGTACTTTTTAGGTTCAGGACTCGATGCAATTCCCAAGACTTATTGTAGGGAATTGGAACTTAGTTAAGAGTTTCTTCAGTTCTTCAATGTTCTTGTGCTTCCCTCAAGAAAAGTCCCTGATCCCAAATACCACTTTTCTAGTGCTGAAGCTGCTGACATATAAGGTAGTTTGATTAGGCTGTGTGAATTCCTGCCTGGAACCAAAATGTTTTCTTTGTTTTTAAAAGAAATAAGTTTTGTCCTGCACTGACTCCAGGAGACTAAAAGCTTCTAAAGCAAGAGGGATGGGATATGTGTCCCAGCATCAGGAATGTTCTACAGTGGGGTCATGACTCATCCTACCCCAGCCTTGTGGATACAGTTAATTACACATTTGTTGCCTTGATTGGTATTTAATTTGATGCTGAAAGCAGTCAGTGGAAATGATAATGATTTTATTGTTGAAATTAAAAAAATTGAGGCTGAGATTCCTGTCACAGTGTATAAAATATGTTTCCTCTTATGTAACATTAATATATAAAACACAATTACTTTGCTGTCAGATACCGCAGTGATAATGAGTAATAAAATAAAATACAGTGTCTGGGAATGGAAGTTTGTCAAATTGTGCTTTAAAGTCACACTGAAGTCCTGCTCTCTGCTTAGTCTGGTCTTTTGGTCTTTTTATTTTCCTCTTCCCTCTCGTTTTTCTGGGGTTGGTGATCTCAGGAAAGGCGGAGGAGGTTTTCCACGTACCCTAAAGCCAGGGAGTTTGGCTGCCTTGGGCAAGTGAGTCCATGGCAGTGATTTTTATCAATTAACTCAACTCCCTGCTAATTAACAGGGTCATCTCTGGCAGTGCTTGCCTTGCTGCTTTTCAGGGGAGGTGTCTGCTAATTAACTGTGGGATTTCCAGCCAAACACCCTTTCATTTGGGATCCACCATCCCTGCTCCCTGTCGCTCTCGTGTAACAGTTGTGTAATTGCTGACAGCTTTGATGAATATTAGGGAAGTATTTAATGTGCTTTTGACTTCATTGAGTAATTCAATATCTAAGAACAGGGTGTAGAACAAATCAGGGAGCAGGTGGTGAGTGGAGCTGTTGTTGGGCCATGCTGGAACTGGTTGAAGCCGAGGGGAGAGCCCTGGTCTTGTGTTTCCAGCCTTCTCTGCTGGATCATTCTCTTTGTTTGTTTGGATTTTCCTTTATTGTAGAGGGAATCTGTCAGTTGGAGTGTGATTTTGATGGCTGTAAATCTTCCCTTTGCAGAAGTGCTGGATTTGGGTTTGTTTTGCCAACAGGGCTCTGAGTAATGAAGGGATTTTGGTGGAGTATTGAGCAATGTTTAGTTGACACTTTTAAAAAAAGAAAATCCAGCCCTTTCCATGGCCTAGTTTATAGTGACTGAAAAAAACTGGCACAGAGAACATTTACAAGTTGAAAATTAAACAGGTTTGTTTATAGTAGCCACGATCCAGTATTTAGCTGCCAGGATAAAAATAACCAGGACATGTGGCTGCAACATCCCAAGAATCTGCCTCTCAGCTGGGAAATGGGATGGGCACGGCCACAGGGGTGGCACAGCCAGCCTGGGGTGCTGGAGTTCACACAGGCATCTGTGCTTCTCTCCCAAATCTGCGAAATCCTGGTGGCACATTTCCCCCTGGAAATGCTCAAACTTCTGGTTCCCGCTGGTGAAAATCAGAAAATGGGAGGTGGGGGTGACGAGCAAGCAAGGAGTTACTCTCTTCTCTCTTCCTTAAAGCCAGGTGAGTGATCCTTGCTCCCTGCCCCTCTCTCCTCTATCCCAGGGACACCTTTCCCTGTCTTTCTGTATCCCAGTGCATCCTCCTGGGGCAGAGCCAAGCCCAGCTCAGTGAGCAGTGCCCGTGGCAGTGGAAGCTGTGCCGGGAGCGGCTCTTTCACAGTCTCTGGGAACTGCTGCTCTGGTTGCTGTGCTTCCTTCTGTACCTCACTTCTTTCTGTTCCTTTTCTCTCACCCTTTTTTAAGCTCAGGCTGTGCCTTGTGTTTTTTGAGGGCCAGTGCAGTCGGTGCCCTTGTCTGTCCCCAG